GATCCTCTTGTTCGTGGGAACGTTTCCACCGAACAGTGCTTTTCGTTGTGTTTTGGAACCGAACGCAGTTGATGCTGGAAGTCCAGCGGTGTTCGGGAGTTTCTGTGTCTGTTTTCAGTTCCATGAGATTTATGCCAAAACACCGCTGCCTGCTTTCATGCGAACAAGATGGCCGCCACCTCATGGTCGTCCATAGGAATTGCGGCCACCCAGACGAACACTTAGAACACTGCGGTGGAAATTGCTACAAAGTAGCAATTAGGTTTAACAAGCTCCAGGGTGGACTCCAGTTCATGCGGCTGCTCGGTTCCCAAACCAAATATAAAATCCCACGAACCAAGTTTGTTCAAATAGTTTTTTTAAAGGGCCCATAGTCTTTTGTTAAGAGGGTCGCCAGCAGGGTCCTTCAAGAACATGTGACAAGGCTCAGTTTGTTACAGCCCTCATTCCCAATAAATCCACCTCAGCCCCATCTCCACCAGCACCCATCTCCATGCACCCCTTCCACCCATCATAGACCCATTTTACCCACCACAGCCCCTATTTTACCCTATACCCACCTCAGAAAATGTATGTTTTTTCTGTGGTTAGAGATAATCGGATTAGATTAGTACGGTTCCTGATCCAATTATCTCCCAGGCACAGAGCAGGTATTATCTTATTTTGTATGGGAGTGTCCTGGACCTGAGAGCCAATGTGATTGTGTAATTATTTCTACTGTGGCTTGTCCACCACAGCCCCTATCCCTCCCTGCACCGACCGTAGCCCCTATACCTTCTAGCACCCACTATAGCCACTATCACTCCTGCATCCACTGCAGCCACTGTCCCCCCATGCACTTACTACAGCTCATATCCCAACATGCACACACTGCAGACACTATCCACACGCACAGACAAACTGCAGCCTTTATATCCCCCACACAGTAGAGCCTCTATTATCCAAACACTCATTACAGCCCCAGTATTCCCCAGTCGCCTACTATGGTCCATATCCCACACACACTGCAATACAACCAGCCATCTCCATCTACATACTACACTGCAAAGAGACTCATCCACACACGCAAACCCACCAAGACCATTACTGTATGCACACAATCCCACAAGCAGCCACCCTACACATGAAAACCACATGCAGCCTCCCCACCATTGCAATACTGCATACAGCCTCCTTACACACACACACACACACACACACGCAATTATTACAACCATTTATATAGTGCCAACATATTCTTCAACGCAATTCAATAGATAAAAGAATACAAACAATTCTAACACATGTTGACATACAGGAACACTACATTACAAGCAGCATCCCACACACTGTACCCTACTAGCAGCCTACAAACACACGATTGAAAATAAATGTGGGGGACGCTGCTTGTAATGTCACCAGCAAACACAGAGGAAGTGTGTAATTGCATTTTCTTTATTTCTTTATTTTAGTGGGGATGAGGTGGTCGAGGCATGCCAGTAAGGGTTACTTCATTTCATTCAAAAACAGGGTTTTATTAAAAGCAAATCTGACCCTGTATGGAGGTTTTGCAGGTGGGAGTTCTCACACAGCCATGACTGCTGACCCCGGACCAAAAACTCCCACCACCCGTTGCCCAATAAATACACAACACCTTCTGTATGGGTAAGGGCAACGGCCACAGCTTTATTAACAGAATTAACATCGATTATCACCAGCGTCCACAACCCGTCAGCTGTTGGGGGATTACCAACAGACAGCTCTATCAAATGACCCACGAGTCCAATGCAGCCTGCCCCCGGCATCAGCTCTCAGCAGGCTGCGACTCCCCAAGCCGCTTGGGCACTTTCTTCCAAACCTCTTCGCTGGCCAGGACTACCGCGAGCTGTGACAAAACAAAGAAACAACAGCACACAACCAACAACAACACCATCATAACACACGTTTTTGGGTGGGTGGGCGGGAAGCTAGCAACACTACACCTCTGCCCAGGAACTGGTGAGTACCCTCCCCTTTTTCCCCATCTTAATGTCCCCCATGTGTAACAATGTATCCCCTTGTGACCCAACCCCTTATCCCTGCCAGCAGTCATGTCCTCCCTTCCTTAAGATTTCCAGGGAGGTACTTGACTGCTGACCCCGGACCAAAAACTCCCACCACCCGTTGCCCAATAAATACACAACACCTTCTGTATGGGTAAGGGCAACGGCCACAGCTTTATTAACAGAATTAACATTGATTATCACCAGCGTCCACAACCTGTCAGCTGTTGGGGGATTACCAACAGACAGCTCTATCAAATGACCCACGAGTCCAATGCAGCCTGCCCCCGGCATCAGCTCTCAGCAGGCTGCGACTCCCCAAGCCGCTTGGGCACTTTCTTCCAAACCTCTTCGCTGGCCAGGACTACCGCGAGCTGTGACAAAACAAAGAAACAACAGCACACAACCAACAACAACACCATCATAACACACGTTTTGTGGGTGGGTGGGCGGGAAGCTAGCAACACTACACCTCTGCCCAGGAACTGGTGAGTACCCTCCCCTTTTTCCCCATCTTAATGTCCCCCCATGTGTAACAATGTATCCCCTTGTGACCCAACCCCTTATCCCTGCCAGCAGTCATGTCCTCCCTTCCTTAAGATTTCCAGGGAGGTACTTGACTGCTGACCCCGGACCAAAAACTCCCACCACCCGTTGCCCAATAAATACACAACACCTTCTGTATGGGTAAGGGCAACGGCCACAGCTTTATTAACAGAATTAACATTGATTATCACCAGCGTCCACAACCTGTCAGCTGTTGGGGGATTACCAACAGACAGCTCTATCAAATGACCCACGAGTCCAATGCAGCCTGCCCCCGCCATCAGCTCCCAAGCCGCTTGGGCACTTTCTTCCAAACCTCTTCGCTGGCCAGGACTACCGCCACCGCGGTTCCTCCCTACCTACTCCCCTGGGAGGGACCACCCCCCCCGCAGCCAGCGCCTCCTCAATACCTGCCTGAAGACCCGCATTCAGGATATCCAATCCTATGAGGGAAAGGTGTACCCCATCCTTCCGCATCAAGTCGGAATTGTCCCCTTCCAGCTCCCTGTGCCTAATGACAAAACCGCCAATCCGGCGGACAAATTTTCCGATGGCCACGTTGAGCCTGCGCCTGCTACGCTCCACGCCCTTAGCATGCGGCAGCGAACGCCAACGCGGCCTGGACACTATGTCCGACCAGATCAGGGTCAACTCGGGGAAAAGAGCCATACACCGAGCCAGATCGTGTCTAATCGCATGCAGGAGGTCCACTGACCTACTGTGCCCCAGGTCATTTCCCCCTGCATGAATTACTAGGGTCACTGGCCCCGACACGTACCTACGAAGGGATACGCACTCCGAATACAGCTGCTGCCACAACATACCCCTAATACCCCTCCACCTTACCCTGGCTATCTTGTAGGAAAAACCCAAATTCCTCCCGTAGGGACGCTCCTCAGCTCGCCGCGCTGCCCAATAAACGTAGGAATGTCCCAGTATCCAAATGCAGCGGGGCCGAGGACCTACGGAGAAATTGGATTATAGTAAATGAGGTCTAACATAGGACCTGTAGCGCCGTGAACCCCATCTACCCAAGCGCTGAATCGCTGCGTCCGAGAAACCCCACAAACTAGCCTGGGTGGCCGCCCCTATCCGAAAAGAATGAGTAGAATAATGGCGAGGATTCACCCCGCATGCAACCAAGGCAGCACGGAACCTAGCTGAGAACTGATAACGTGTGAGGGGGGACCCATCCCTATGAACCAGAAAGGAGAGACACCACACCAGCCTAATCTGCAAATACTCTGAGAAAAGACGGACTGGACAAAACCTGCCTCCCGTGGCACCGATATGCACCCATGAACCCCTACCTACCTGGTCTGTCTTGGAACGCCTTATGAAAACATCTACATAGTCCTCGGACCACCGGATATCCGCCAGAAGCAGCGGCCCCACCGCCCAACGGTTGCGTGACACCAACTCGCCCACCCTAAAAGCTCCAAAAAAACAAAAAGCAAATGCAATCTGAAATAATGAGGCTTCGTAGTCTGAGAAACAAACTGCCCCCAGAGCCGCCAGGATCCGTCCCAGCAAGTCGGCTGACACCGGGCGGCGGCGGTCTGGGGCCCTCCTAAGTCTCCAACCCCGAATAGCTCGCTGTATACCGAACCACCAAGAAACGTCTTGCCAACCCATAGACCGACAAAGAAAGGATAGGGCGCTCAATGCCTTCTCGACCGCAGAACAAGACTTACCCTGCGCAAACATCGACTCCAACAGTAGCAGAGTCGCCTCCAAGCGCCCGGACTCCGACCCCAGCACCAGGCCCTGCGAAAACGAGGACAGCCACGTCCGCCAGACGGCTTGATATGCCTTCCAGGAAGAGTCAGCTAAGGAGTCCGACACCAAGCTCCTCAATCCTCCAAATCGATCTCCCATAAGGAAACCGGACATCGGATACCCACTGCCTCCGCGGCTGGCGCCGACTCCCGAAAACGGTCCCACTGAAACCGAGAAAGAGAGTCAGCTACCACGTTGTGAACACCCGGGACATGACAAGCTCTAACCCAAACATTGAACTTTAAGGAAAGAAGTACCAACCGTCGCAGTAGCGCAAGAACTGGAGGGGAACTGGAGGTTGAACGGTTTATCACATGGACAACACTCATGTTGTCCGTGTGAAAAACTACAGTCCTGTTGGCCAGAGCCTCCCCCCAGAGCTCCAAAGAGACAACGATGGGAAACAGCTCCAGAAACGTCAGGTTGCGCATAACATTCAAACCCCGCCATTGTGCTGGCCATGCCTCCGCGCACCACTTACCCTGAAAATATGCCCCAAAACCCACGGAGCTGGATGCGTCCGTGAAGAGGTTCAACTCCGAGTTAGACGCAACCTCCAGCAACCAACAGGAGCGTCCATTGTAGCGCTCCAAAAAGGAGCTCCACACCTGGAGGTCCGTGCGCAGACGCCGCGTGACTCGGATAAAATGAAAAGGCTCCCAAACCCCTACCGTGGACAAGGAGAGGCGCCTGCAGAACGCACGTCCCATGGGAAGAACTCGGCACGCGAAGGCCAAGTGCCCCAGAAGCACCTGCATTTGACGCAACTGCACCTTCCTTGCCCCTCGAACCAGGTCGATCAGCCGCAAGAGGACCGACAACTTCTCTTCCGGCAGCCGACGGAAAGCTGATGCTATGTCAGATTTCGCCAACAAAGCACCTTGCCCGGCCCGACGAATCAACTCCAAAGCCCTATCAAATGATGCATATCGCACGCGACAGATGTCCTTGCCAATGGCATCATTTACCGACTCACCCGACGGGTAGGACAGGTGCTGGATCAAACGAAAGGAACCTGGGTCCTTTTTGGGAACCAAGCCCAGAGGGGAGACCCTTAAGTTAGGAAAAGGTGGCGCACTAAATGGGCCAGCCATGCGACCCGCCTACACCTCCACCTGCAATTTTTGCTGTAAAATATCTTCTTTGCCGAGCGGAGATTGTCCGCGAACTGAGGCAAGGAAGAGGGAACAAAGGGGATCCAGAAACCTACCTGAAAACCGTCAAACAATGTCTGTGCATCGCGACCCCTATGATACCGGGCGAGCCACGGGAACATCCTTAGGGCATCCACCGGCGTCCTCTCCCCTAGGTATGTCATCTCGAGAGGGACCCTTTCCAGACACTGGTTTCCCCTTTCGGAAGCAGCGCACAACTGGGTGCGCTCCCCCGCAGTGTGCACATTCATGGCGGAACCTGCAGGAGCTGTACCAGCGGCAGTGGCTCTCGTTAAAGAGCCAACACACACCTTTCCTCTGTCCTGCTGAGGAGCCGGAGGTCCCTCCGGCAGGCCCGGGAAAGGGGGATGGTCTACTGGGAGTCATAAGTAACAGCCAGAGACTGCCATCCTGTACGGCAAAATCCATACCCGGGCACACCGCCATCTTTTGTCGGAATTGCTGGTCATAGCGATACCAGCATTGCCCGCCATATATTTTATAGGCCCCCCAAATAAGATCTAAGTACCCGAACAGGGCCGGAGCCTTATCTGGGAACCGGCGCACTAGGATACTGGCAAATATGTTAAACCCCTGCAACCAATTACCAAAGGTTCTGGGTATCTGCTTACCTTTGTCCGCCTCGGGAACCTCCCCACGGCGTGGTCTGTCCACTGAATCCTTGTCGGGAGAAACCAAGGACAGCAGATCCACATACTCACATCTCCAAATCTTCTCTTGCATGTCCATAGGGACATGCAAACCTAACGGTGCAAGATCACATCCCACCGAACCGGCACGAAAAGCCCCTGCGGCAGGCTGACCCCTAAGGGATTGGGAACATCCCTGCACCTGACCCTCAGCCTGCCCTGAGAGACCCTGTCCCTGAAACCTCTCTATTATCAAGCCCAGTAAGATGTGAAGGGAAAGTGGCCACTAGGGTCCTAAGCAGGCGCAAACACTCACTAGCCTGATCCTGGGCCCCAGTCCCTGGCACGCCAGCGCAATGTAACCACTCACCGGACCGCTGGGGAACTGCTGGCACCGAAACCTCCTCTTCTTCAGAACCAGAATCCGACCAAGAGCTCCTAGGGACATCTCCAGCTGGACCTGAGCTGTGCTCCAGGTGAACATCACCGAAACCGGCTGCCTCAGGATGATGGGGGTTGATTCCGGATGACTGGGCGCTCCTGTAGTCTCCTCTTCTTCCTGCCGACCGTCCTCTGCGTCCGGCGCCCTGAGAACTCTGTGTTCTGGACCGGGCGCCGACGTTACGAGTCATTTCCGGGTGCAGGACGCCGCCGGTGCGCGTCACTTCCGGATGCCGTGCTCCGCCGGGGCGCGTCACTTCCGGTTGCGCCCGATGATGATGTCCGGCGGCCTGATGCACGCCATCGCTGCCGCTCACTTCCGGCGTCCTCTCTCTTCCCGCCGTTGGGACCGGAAGAGACGGCGGGCTACGAGATCTTCCCGCCACGCCGCCATCTTGTCCACCAACGATGATGGCCTCCACCGGTCTCCTTCCACTTCTCGGCGGAGAAGACCTGGCAGCGCCAATCCGCTCATCCCGCTGGCGACCTCTACGTCTGGACACCGGACTGGGGGACAGGCGCGTAGGAGGCCTGGAACGCCTGGCCCTCCTACCGCCATCCAACGGGAGCAACGAAGTCCCTGAAGCTGTAGCAGGAGCCGGGCGGTTATCCACCCCGGCGATCACCTCCTCCAAAGCACCGGATCCATGAGAGTCAAGGTAGGCCTGCAATAAGGCTACCACATCTTCCCTTGATACAGCTGAAGCCATTCTCCCGATGCCAGATGAGGGAAAGGAGGTAAGTAGAAAATGTGAGCAAAGTGAATGAAATTAATAATTGAAAATTCTTTTTTTTTTTTTTTTGACAGTCCCAGGGGAAGCTAGCAACACTACACCTCTGCCCAGGAACTGGTGAGTACCCTCCCCTTTTTCCCCATCTTAATGTCCCCCATGTGTAACAATGTATCCCCTTGTGACCCAACCCCTTATCCCTGCCAGCAGTCATGTCCTCCCTTCCTTAAGATTTCCAGGGAGGTACTTTATGGGTGCAGGGCAGCATGCATATAATATCGGTGTGAGAGCCACACAAAGAAAGGGAGAAAACTTTGCACCAGAAGGCCCTGTGAGTTGTCAGTCCGCCCCTGTTCCTATCTATCTATTTCCATCTCTCTATCTATCCATCTATTTCGATCCAACTCTATCTGACACACACACGCTCTCACGCTCACTCACTCTCTCTCATTCTCACTCTCTCTCACTCTCTCAATCTCTCACTCTCGATCTCTCTCGATCTCTCACTCTCTTTCACTTTCACATCTCCTCCCATCAGCTTATCTGTTAACACAATTAAAATGTACATATTTTCCCCAAGTTCTAGTTGTACCCCAAATACATAGTATTTAAATGTAGTATCCCCTGATAGCCCTGATCCGGGTGAATAACATATTCAAAAATCACCCAGATCAGATCAGGGGTTCGGGAGTTATGGGGTTTAAAGATGTGTGGAAGTCCCTTTAGGCCCACTGAAGCATGGCTTTCCAGTCCAAACTTTCACTCTCACTCACTCTCACTACTTTTTAAAATAAGTTTACTTATCTCTCACTCTCCTGCCTTCTGCCTTTCAGCCTGTCAGCCCGAGTCAATGCTGTGTGTGCAGGAGATCTTTATCTCCCACACTGTCGGCTCTGACTGCTTATACCCTCAGGAGTTACTACAGGACACAGGAGGCACGTTCACAGTGCCTCCTGTGTCCTGATAGCATGTTTGATGTCTTCAGCTAAGCATAAAGACGTCAAACGTGAGTCCTGTGCATCAGTCAAGACTTGCTAGGAAGTCCCTCTGGTGGCCATCTGAGTGACTGCCACTGCAGGTGTTCCTAGGTTCTAATGTAAACAGTGTATTTTCTCTGGAAATACAGTGTTTACATGAAAAGGCCTGCAGGGAGCTATTGTACTCACCTGAACAACCCCTTTAAGCTGAAGTTGTTCAGGTGACTGTAGTGTCCCTTTAATTAAGGTTGTGACAGGTTTAGCAATTGCTGGCGCACTGAGCTTCAACAGCATTGCTGTGATTTGATCAGGTCCAGACTGGTTTTATATTTTTAGATTATTTAGGTGTTTCTTAATGACACTAATCGGTATAGGTCTAAAATGGAACTTGTCTATATTGGGCCTTTGCAAATTTAGTGGGGCCTGATCCACATTAGTAGTTTCAGGATGCGTGCCATTTATTAGCTTGGCAATCAGGGCAGTGGAGCATCCGACAAAATAATTGTTAAAGGCATTTGCTACATCTAAGGGAAGTTGCAGGGTTTGGTTACCCACTTTGATAGTGGAGGGTTGGGAGTGGATTGGGGGAGTTTGTAGTTTATTTATGACTTTCCAAAAGTTTTTAGGTTTTGATAGGTTATTGTTCAGATTTTCACAGAAATATTGGGCCTTGGCTAATTTTGTCTGTTTTGTGCATATATTTCGCCATTGTCTATATCAGTGATGGCGAACCTATGGCACGCGTGCCATAGGTGGCACGCCGGGCCCTTTCTGTGGGCACGCGGCCACAGGTTCGCCATCAATGCAGAGTAGGCGCCTGCCTGCCCAAAACGGCAGGCGCCTACTCTGCTTCCGGGTCGGGAGGCAGGGGGAGGGCTCCAGGAAGCAGCTCCCCTGTCCTCCCGCGCGATGCTGTGTGGAGCGTTGCCGCGCGTTACCATGGCAACGCTCCACACAGCATTGCACGGGAGGACAGGGGAGCTGCTTCCTGGAGCCCTCCCCCTGCAGTGCTTACTACCACCGGACCACCAGGGATGGCTGTGTCCCCCCCCCCTACTTCATTAAAGGTAAGAAGGAGGGGAGGGGGGGGTTATACTGACACACAGCACCCTTACCCCCCCAGCAGTAACCCCTACCCTCCCCAGCAGTAACCCCTAACCCCCCAGCAGTACCCCTACCCCAGCAGTACCCCTAACCCTCCCCAGCAGTAACCCCTCCCCTCCCCAGCAGTACCCCTACCCTCCCCAGCTGCACCTCTAACCCCCATACACAGTACCCTAAACCCCAGCTGTACCCCCTAACCCCCAGCTGTACCCCCCTAACCCCATACACAGTACCCCTAACCCCCCATACACAGTAATCCTAACCCCAGCAGTACCCCTAACCCCCAGCAGTACCCCTACCCCCACACGCAGTACCCCTACCCCCACACGCAGGCACCCCTACCCCCACACACAGTACCCCTACCCCCACAGCAGTACTCCTACCCCACAGCAGTACTCCTACCCCACACACAGTACCCCAACCCTCCCAGTAGTACCCCTACCCCCACACACACAGTACCCCCTACCCCTCCCAGCAGTACCCCTACCCCCCACACACAGCACCCCCACACACACACACACACACACACAGCACCCCCACACACACACACACAGCACCCCACACACACACACAGCACCCCACACACACACACACACACACACAGCACCCCCCCCCACACACACACACACAGCACCCCCCCCACACACACAGCACCCCTCACATACAACACTCACACACACACGCACCCCCCACCTCAATGCAGTATGTGTGTATTCAGCAGTGTGTGTGCGTGTATTCAGCAGTCTGTGTGTGTTTGCGTGTATTCAGCAGTGTGTTTGCGTGTATTCAGCGGACTGTGTGTGTGTACTCAGCAGTCTGTGTGTGTGTGTGTGTGTGTGTGTGTGTGTACTCAGCAGTCTGTGTGTGTGTCTGTACTCAGCAGTCTGTGTGTGTGTGTGTACTCAGCAGTCTGTGTGTGTATGTATTGCATTTGTTGGAGATACTAATAAATATAAGCTTAATTTTATCTGTTTATATCATTATTTAAAATTTGTATCATTGAACTCTCTGTGTTCTTTTAAAACAAAAGTTATTAGTTCGGACAACAGTACGAGTTGTTTTTTTTCTAAACTTAAACCTCAGTATTTGGGTTTAATTGCCGTGTTGGCACTTTAAGGAGAAAAAATGTTGGCATGTATTGCGGTTTGGGCACTCAGGCTCAAAAAGGTTCGCCATCACTGGTCTATATGCACCGTGATCGTTCATAGAGCCAGTACGCTTGAACTTTGACCACAAAGAATCCCGAAACTGGTACATTTGGATGAGGTCAGCTGTGCTCCTTTTACCCTCACCTTACGCAGCAGGGCATGCAAATTCCAAATTTGTAGGAGTTCAGACTGAAAGTATTCAACAGCACAGTCTAGATCTGGGATAATGTTTAATCTGATATCATTTAGAAATGATTCAAGATTAAATGTTTTGAAGGACCTGGTGATTTTAACCTTGGGAGAGGATTTAGTAGCCTTTATTTTGCGCACACTGTACACTAAGCAGTGATCACTGAAACTTTTAGGGAGAATATGATGTGTGTTTTTTTCACTAATAGGATAAATAAAGAACATGGATATGGAAATGGTAATTAAAATTAAAATTAAGTTAATATGAAAATGTTTTTATAAAGTGGGTTACGTTAAGGGATTTATTGAGCTATGTCTCTGTCGAAAAGAACCGTAATATAATTTCTTACACTGGGTGCTGGACATTTATGTAGTTATTTTATTTTAGTTATGGAAACGTTATGCTCAGATGGGAATTGGACATTTTTAACTGTTGAATATGTTTCATTTTAATTTAAATCATATGGGATCAATACCAGAATGTCATCACCTTTTGTATACACATAATGGTCAAAACTTAAGGAAATCACAACTGTTTTGGTGGGAAGAACCTTACTGCATTTAGAATTGAGCCCATATGTTATTGATTACCTTTAATAATACTGATAATCTAAGAAGGGTTTGCAAAATAATAATGATTATTATTAGTCTAGCTTGTTATGAAACCTGATTTAATACATTCTCTCTCTATTCTATCCTGTATCTACCCTGTCTAGCTAGACTTGAAATATAATTTAATACACCCCCCTCCTAATTTAAAGTTTCCCCACCCCTTCCTGTCAAGTCCTCACTTTGAATGACAGACTCACACTCACTGACAGATGCATATTCTCATTGACAGACACACACTCTCATATACACTGACAAACAATGACATACACACACACTCACTGATTTGACACACTGATAGACACACACACTATTACTTGGACACACTGACAGACGCACACCCTCACTGACAGACAGCCACACAGTGACAGACATACACACAATCACTCAGATACACACTGACAGCCAGACACACACAATCACACAAACACTGACAGCCAGACATACACAATTACTCAAACACACACTGACAGCCAGACACACACAATCACTCAGACACACACTGACATACACACACTGACAGCAAGACACACACAATCACTCAGACACACAATCCCTCACACACACTGACAGACCCCCTTTCTCCCCAACATTAATTAATAAAGATACTTTTTCTATTTTAGATAAAATCCACACAGTCTCCCTACCTTAAGAAGAGCTGGGTGGATTTTTTTTACCTGGGGTCCAGTGGGTCTTCTTGCAAGAAGGGAGGCAGGCACTTGGGCGGCTAAGTAGAAATCCAGGCGGGCGGCTGGCGAGGGAGCACTGATTAGTGAGCTGTCTCTGCTCAGCTCCCTCACGCACCACAGAGTGATGCTGGGAGCCAGAATATGACGCCATATTTGGGCTCCCAGCATCACTTTGCGGCGTGCAAGGGAACTGGGAGCTCACTAATCAGTGCTCCCTCGCCAGTGCCGCCCCCCTCCCCCACCTCCCCACCTTGATTTCTACTTAGCCGAATGCCACCAGACTAACAAAGTATTTGCTTGTGCATTTGGGGACGTCGTTTTTTTGCCGCCCCTGGAAAGTGACACCCAAGGCAAATGCCTTGTTTGCCACACTGCAAATACATCCCTGCAGTGTCTAACTAGTTATGAAATATGATTTAATACATTCTGTCTCTATTCTATCCTGAATCTACCCTGTCTAGTTAGTTATGAAATATCATTTAATACATTCTATTTCCATTCTATCCTGTATCTACCCTGTCTAGCTAGTTATGAAATACGATTTAATACATTCTATCTCCATGCTATCCTGTATCTACCCTGTCTAGCTAGATTTGAAATATGATTTAATGCATTCTATCTCCATTCTATCCTGTATCTACCATGTCTAGCTAGTTATGAAATATGATTTAATGCATTCTATCTCCATTCTATCCTGTATCTACCCTGTCTAGCTAGTTATGAAATATGATTTAATACATTCTATCTCCATGCTATCCTGTATCTACCATGTCTAGCTAGATTTGAAATATGATTTAATGCATTCTCCATTCTATCCCGTATCGACCCTGTCTAGCTAGTTATGAAATATGATTTAATACATTCTATCTCTGTTCTATCCTGTATCTACCATGTCTAGCTAGTTATGAAATATGATTTAATACATTCTATCTCCATGCTATCCTGTATCTACCCTGTCTAGCTAGTTATGAAATATGATTTAATACATTCTCCATTCTATCCTGTATCGACCCTGTCTAGCTAGTTATGAAATATGATTTAATACATTCTATCTCTGTTCTATCCTGTATCTACCCTGTCCAGCTAGATTTGAAGGGAGAGATTGTCTCTGTTACTTACTTTGTTCTGACCTGATGTATCGAAGTGCATTTCTTTGGTAACACTGTACCAGGTGAGACACCACAAATTGTTTTCTCTTGAGCTGTAAGTTGTGAGTCTGATTTACAATGAGGGGGCTTACCCTTATCCTCCTGCGGCCAGCATTAAACACAGTGAGTTTTGTCTACTTACTAATAGATTAACATCCATATAAGAGTCTCATATTGGAGTGAACTATAGTGGACTGCTGTCGGTGCTCAGGAGCCTCTCGACAGGTTGATTAATACTTTATTTATGAGCGTATGTTAAAAGGCCATTTGGCCTGAATTTGTGGGAGGAGTTATGACCCCTATTTAAACTCCTACCCCCTACTCACCTTTGACGTTCAAGCTGTTTGTCCCAGCACTTCCGGTCCGTAGTGCACGCCAAAATTCCAGGCTCCAGCAGCAGTTTGTTGCCAGCAGCTCTCCTGCCTCCGACCTCACGAGACTGGCACGTCCACATAAGCTTAACGTGGGAAATAGCGTTCGTCTATTAATTTGTATGGTTTAAACAGCCGACCGCAATGTACATGGCTTTTGTTTATTCTTTCGTGCTGTCCATTAACCGACCACAGGTATTTCTTGTCTGCTTACAGTCCTCTCCGTTCGTTCGTTTCTAGCCGAACGCAGGAAGCTTTAATGTTTAAATTCACCAATCTGTTATTTAATGTATTTCGTTATGCCATTCGTTTAAATGAAAGAACTCATCTTCCACATTTTCTGCATCCTATATTAATTCATGTGTTAAACATATGGCTCATCAGTTACTACTCGCTAAAATATTTAATCTGTTTTTTTCACTATTCCTCAGTTATGGTCATGTAAATTTATGGGACACTTCATTATTACACAGGGGAAACCTTCTTAAAGGTACGGCTAGGCCATAATCACTTAATAAGTAAGGTATAATAAATACACCACTCCACACCATTATTTACTCCTGCTGAAACTTAGTCTCTCATATTATTAATTCATTTTCTTTCCCTAATTCACAAACTAGTCTTTCTGCGTAACTAAGTGCACTCTGTTATACTACGTCTTTATCTTTGTTTTTTGCATGCCATAGGTTAAGCTCTAACGATTCCTTTCACCACGCTCATTACAGACCATAAGCTCGATTGCAAAATCTCTGTTTTCCTAAAACCTTATATACTGGTTCGTTATACTGAGTATGCGTATGTTTTTAGGCTCTACTACATTTCCTTCTAACAGTCTCCAGGAAGTGTTATCCCAGTATCCTGTAATACTGTATCAGGTAAGAAGGTTTACCATTTTTGTTTCCAGTTGTATTTGTCTTCCCCTGAGGCCTCATCCAGCCTCCATGGCCTCATTCAGCCTCCACCCCTCCGCTCCCCACCCGAAGGTGGTTTCTAAACTTCTAAACGGGCCACGGCAAAGACCCTGCACTGCAATTTCTATAACAGTCACCTCCTAAACCAACACCACTTTGCTACTACTAATTTTAACGATACATTGCTTGTCTGTCTTTCGTTTCATTACTTAGACCTGCTTCAATACTGCATTCTCGCCAAATTTCTATGCCATCAACCACTAGCAGCCCACCTGGTATCCCGTATTTCAGTACCAGGTATTGTTAATCTTACTCACTACGATTACGTTCTCCTAAAGGCCTCACTCCACCTTCTTATCATTTAAATTCACAATTGTGGGAACCCAGGGGCTTGTCTCTAACTACGGACCAACGTTCAGGTCCCTCATCTTACACGGGTTCTTACGTTACAGTATCATTGATACACACCTATCCATACGTTTGACATTTTTACACGAGGCATACCAGTGGCACGCTCAGGGCCTACTAGCATCTATTTTACCCCATGGATACCTTGGTCGGACCTGTTCCCTTCAGAAGTAAGTATTATTATTATTATTATTATTATTATGTTATTTATATAGCGCCATCAAATTCCGCAGCGCTTTACAATGGGTGGACGAACAGACATGTAGTTATAACCAGACAAGTTGGACACACAGGAACAGAGGGGTTGAGGGCCCTGCTCAATGAGCTTACATGCTAGAGTGATTGGGGCAAAATGACACAAAAAGGTAAGGATAGTATTAGACTAGTGACAGTATATATATTGAAGACTTCCCGTGCCTCGTCCAAAGCAATAGGACCAATACTCAAGGTTAGTATCTACATACGTTCAAGTACATAATAGGCGCTGGCCTTAGCTACCCTAAGTAAACACACCGGTCACGCAAGATTTACTCTCCACCTCAACACGCAGGTTTAGCCCAACGACCAAATCATAGTTAGCCACCTCGTTCACCCTTCTTTAGGGCTACAGCTAGGGCTTCCCAAGTCACGGCCACACGTTTTGAATCTCTTACAGTCACCGCCACCACAAATTCCCTCAGCCCAAACCATAGGGCCACTTGCCACTTGGCACTAGCAGGGCCTCACCTGTCACTTGGTTCTCGTTAAATTCTTTGCCTCGGCACTAGTTAGTAGGCCAGTTCTCCGAAGGTCTCATTCCCCCCTCCACCACACCCTACTTATTCATATCATTATTCCTTTTTCAGAATGTCACAAGAATCCATTCTCATCATCGATCTGCCGTCGGACGAAATACCCAGCACGCCAGTTAGGCCTGAGTCTCCAGAGTAATCCCTTACCCAGGCCAACGAAAAACAGGCCCGGCACTAGTTCACAAGGAACCACACCCTACTAACCCCTCAGTTTCCACTCAGGAGACCCTGACTGCTATTCTGGTCAACCTCCATACGATGAACAGGCTGCTACAAGTGGAAATGGCCATCCCAGGTGACTTGACAGTCCCCCCCCCCACCCTGGTTGTCTCGGCCGTTCAGGCTGGCATACCCCTCCTTCCCCCTCCCCCTAGGCCTCCAGCAACTATCAAAAACACATATGTCTTATCTGCTCACTATGGAGTTTTGCCTCTGTCCTGGGAGATAATTGGATTAATTCCCAATTATCTCCAGGACAGAGGGAGGGAAATTAGGATGCATTGTGGGGATGTTTTACCTCTGTGTGTCTGTCATTGGTTCATGTCTGTCCTTTGTCACAGTCTCCCATTTGGTCCCACCAGCTGGGAGACCTGCATAAATACTGGGCAGGTAGCCCTCAATAAACCAGACCACTGCTTGACCCGCAACACGGAGCTCTGTCTAGTCTTTGGGCGGATTTACTGTATGCTGTTAGAGACTGATTGCCAGGAGTGTAAGCCGCTTGGGTGCTTTTCCTGTTCGTCTTCTAGCAGCTATTCGTGAGGTTCCAGTTCGGGAGTTTGGAGTGCTATTTTGTATGCAGTTCGGGAGTTATGAGCATTCCCTTGTATTCAGTTCAGGAGTTTGGTGTTCTTCAGTAGTTCTGCCTGTGTCTACCTTGTTCTGCCAACATTTGCAGTTATTTTCACCTCCCTGGTTAACCTCTTCTCTTCCTGGCCATTTTGTTGCCTGGATTCCCCACTTGCTTTTATCTAATTTTCCATCCCTAGTCATTGGGGACCCCAACATTCCAATTAACCTACTGTAACGACATCCCCAGGCATAAAGAGTTAAACCACCGTTTAGTAGATCTAACTCTTTATGCCTGGGGATGTCGTTACAGTAGGTTAATTGGAATGTTGGGGTCCCCAATGACCAGGGATGGAAAATTAGATAAAAGCAAGTGGGGAATCCAGGCAACAAAATGGCCAGGAAGAGAAGAGGTTAACCAGGGAGGTGAAAATAACTGCAAATGTTGGCAGAACAAGGTAAATATAGTGAATTTCAAATAAGGAGAAAAAGATGAAATGGGGAAGTGGGTAGAGGTTTGAATGAGCAGTTGGGTGAAAGAAGTTTCCCTACCGTGTCACCCTTACAGTCAGATACTCTTGGGTGTGAGTTATTTGAAGACCACCAAAGGTCTTAGTGAAGCAGGGGTAGCAGTATCTGAGGGGGATAACCAGGTTTCTGTTAATGCCAGTATGTTTAGGGAATGTGAGATACAGTTGCAAGAAAAAGTATGTGAACCCTTTGGAATGATATGGATTTCTGCACAAATTGGTCATAAAATGTGATCTGATCATCATCTAAGTCACAACAATAGACAATCACAGTCTGCTTAAACTAATAACACACAAAGAATGAAATGTTGCCATGTTTTTATTGAACACACCATGTAAACATTCACAGTGCAGGTGGAAAAAGTATGTGAACCCCTAGACTAATGACATCTCCAAGAGCTAATTGGAGTGAGATGTCAGCCAACTGGAGTCCAATCAATGAGATGAGATTGGAGGTGTTGGTTACAGCTGCCCTGCCCTATAAAAAACACACACCAGGTCTGGGTTTGCTTTTCACAAGAAGCACTGCCTGATGTGAATGATGCCTCACACAAAAGAGCTCTCAGAAGACCTGCGATTAAGAATTGTTGACTTGCATAAAGCTGGAAAGGGTTTTAAAAGTATCTCCAAAAGCCTTGCTGTTCATCAGTCCACGGTAAGACAAATTGTCTATAAATGGAGAAAATTCAGCACTGCTGCTACTCTCCCTAGGAGTGGCCGTCCTGTAAAGATGACTGCAAGAGCACAGCACAGACTGCTCAGTGAGGTGAAGAAGAATCCTAGAGTGTCAGCTAAAGACTTACAAAAGTCACTGGCAAATGCTAACATCCCTGTTAGGGAATCTACAATACGTAAAACACTAAACAAGAATGGATTTCATGGGAGGATACCACAGAGGAAGCCACTGCTGTCCAAACAAAACATTGCTGCACGTTTACAGTTTGCACAAGAGCACCTGGATGTTCCACAGCAGTACTGGCAAAATATTCTGTGGACAGATGAAACCAAAGTTGAGTTGTTTGGAAGAAACACACAACACTATGTGTGGCGAAAAAAAGGCACAGCACACCAACATCAAAACCTCATCCCAACTGTGAAGTATGGTGGTGGGGGCATCATGGTTTGGGGCTGCTTTGCTGCATCAGGGCCTGGACGGATTGCTATCATCGAAGGAAAAATGAATTCCCAAGTTTATCAAGACATTTTGCAGGAGAACTTAAGGCCATCTGTCTACCAGCTGAAGCTCAACAGAAGATGGGTGTTGCAACAGGACAATGACCCAAAGCATAGAAGTAAATCAACAACAGAATGGCTTAAACAGAAGAAAATATGCCTTCTGAAGTGGCCCAGTCAGAGTCCTGATCTCAACCCAATTGAGATGCTGTGGCATGACCTCAAGAAAGCGATTCACACCAGACATCCCAAGAATATTGCTGAACTGAAACAGTTCTGTAAAGAGGAATGGTCAAGAATTACTCCTGACCGTTGTGCACGTCTGATCTGCAACTACAGGAAACGTTTGGTTGAAGTTATTGCTGCCAAAGGAGGTTCAACCAGTTATTAAATCCAAGGGTTCACATACTTTTTCCACCTGCACTGTGAATGTTTACATGGTGTGTTCAATAAAAACATGGCAACATTTCATTCTTTGTGTGTTATTAGTTTAAGCAGACTGTGATTGTCTATTGTTGTGACTTAGATGATGATCAGATCACATTTTATGACCAATTTGTGCAGAAATCCATATCATTCCAAAGGGTTCACATACTTTTTCATGCAACTGTAGATAAATCATGGGCAGCAGTTGAGTTTGTGATGTTGCACACAGAGCGTGCATTCCAGAGGGCAGTTTGAAAGGAGGAAATAGAGGGAGAGGTACATTTGATGGGTAAAAGATTGGTGGGGTCCCTGGTGTTAGGACCAGGTAGGTTGGTGGGCAAGGACCAGGTTTTGGGAAGACATCTCCAGCTGCAATGAGCAGAGGGATTGAAAGGGGAAGAAGGTTTGAATAGAATTTAAATGCATTAGGTGGGGACCGGTGTTTGAAGGCTGTAGAAGGAGTTAATGGAGAAAGGGTGGATATGTGTATGGGATGGAAAGAGAGGGGAGGGAAGTAAAGTGGGAGCAGTGAGACAGTTATGAAAATGGTAGGTTTAGCACAGCACCAATGACTCTACATTTTACAAAGCTGACCTTGGTAAAATTCAAAGAGTAACTTGCTAAACATTTTCTAATTGGTGGATTAGTAGATCTATCAGGGATACACCATGGCATCAGGCTGAGATATATATTCAAATTAAGGGGAATTTCTTTTCACTCTGGATATCACTAAGCACTTATATAACATTAACCAGGCACTTTATTTACATCTGTTTTGTTAAATTATAAGGTTGAGGGACTCAGCCACAGATGAGTCAGTAACAGGCCCTGTGCTTCCTTACGTGCACTTGTGGCTACGTGAATCTCAGTTACACTCCCACAAGATGTCAATATATCTCACGGCCAACTATTATGCACCCACGCAGTCCACGTAAGGGAGCCCAGCGCAGACTCATCATTCAGGAGGTAATGCAGGCAAGAAAATGTGGACAATCTGTCATGGATGTGGGCATAATAAAATGTGGGCAACTGGTATGAGAAAATGGAGGCAAACTAAAATAAAGGTAGGCAATGCTGCATGTGGAAATAATAATATAACGTATTACATTGATTAAAATAAATATTACAAAGTGACTCAGTAAGTTCTCAATAAAGATTTTAATAGAAGCCCATCAGGTAAAACACGTGGTTTCTACTTTTCAATAATATAGAAAAAGCTCGGCCTAAACCTCTGGAGAATTACATTGCACATTACAACTCCCATAAGACTCAGTCAGCCAATAAACAATAATAACCACCCAGAACACATAATGACACACTGACAAGGTGACACACACTAACACACATTATGACACACATTCACACACATAGTGCAGGTATAACACACATGATGGGAGTTGAAGTCCAGAACAGCTACCAGTACCAGAGGCTGCCTGTAACTGACATTTCAGATGCAATAAACTATAACTCTCATCACAATTAAACAACACACACACACACAAAACACTCACATTAAAAAAACAAAATGTAAAGTTCAGGATACTTGGCCAAGCTGTGATTATTGTTTAATAGCCAGGCATTTATAGAAATGTTTAGTATAAAGTTTATAATTTAGTTTTAATGTCAGTTAATTTCACTGTTTGAATACACCCCACAGTCACACACACAGAGTGAGACAGAGCAGTGGTTGCTTAGTAACAGGCTCCGCCCACAGCCAGATCAGTATTATTGGCTACATTGGCTGGGATTTTCAGTGAAATTTCTTTAATTAAATTAATAAAGCATGCAATACATTAAATCCTCAGCCAGGTATTATTCTCATATACACAGAATAAAGCATGAAGCGGCTCAGTGAAGGTGGCAGTGAATGTGTGTAAGTGTCTGATGGGTTCACACAGCTCATAAAATGACAGCCGCCCGGCCTCGTAGTCCAGGTATATCCCGAATCTCCGGCTGGAAAGGCGGTGACATAACCGAAATGTTATTTTACTGTCATGCCTCGCATTATACAGAATATTTCCCAACCTCTCCAAACCCCAAGACTTGCTATTATATCCAATCCGTGACTGACCTCCTTCCCTGTCTATACTGGGATAGGCCATCCCTACCGTCCATCCCCCTGATTCACTGCCCTCCACTTCCCAGTAATGTCGCCCTGAGGAGAAACTCCTGGCGCTTAAAACGTGATCAGACTGAAATCTCTCTGGTGTTTCTGGGCAACTCTGGATTACTTCTGACAAGGATACAGTTTTCATATCACCTGATACGGTTACATTATTAGCAGCCGTGTTTACATCCAGTAACATGTCTGAAGCCGTGTTTATTCCCAGTAACATGTCTGAAGCCGTGTTTACATCCAGTAACATGTCTGAAGATGTGTTTACCCCCTGTAATATATTAGCCGGTACTTGGCTCTGTCTCTTTACTCCGGTCACAATCCCAGCTAATCCTGAGTGTAAGGTCACTGAGATCAGACCCACATCCAGATCCCCTACAGCACGGACCTTTTTATCATCTCTCTCTCTGTCCTCATTATCTCCCTCCTCAGTATCACAATAGTCAACTCTGTCTGATTTCCGTCCTTGTAAGACAGTTAATGGGTCCATCATGTTACACAGCTCCTTAATATGACCCATCTTCCTGGACAGATCCTCCTTCTTTATTTCCATCTGACAGGTTAGATCTAAGACTCGGAGTGAGATCTGCTTTTCGTGCCTGGAGATCTCACTCAGAATTTGCTTCTCTAGAGCTTCCAGTTGTTTTTTAATGCTCCTAATCAGGGCAGTTACTTCCTCTGTTACCCCGGCTGCTTTTTTTTTGCACTTCTCTCTTGAGCTCCTGCAGGCTGTGGACTCTTTTCTCAGCCTCCTTTCTCTTTGAGGTTAGTTTTTTCAGAATATTTCTCAGTTTCTCCTTCTTCTTCTCAGAGGCCTCATTCAGAGTCTGCACCTGGTGTCCCCTATGATCTCCGTCCAGCCTGCAGGACACACAGATACAGGTAGCATCCTCAAAGCAGTAATATTTCAGGATTTCCTTGTGGACGGAGCATTTTCTGTTCTCCAGTGAAGTGGTGGGTTCAGTTAGGACATGTTCTGCTGACTTGCTGTGGACCCTCAGGTGGGCTTCACACAGACAAGCTTCACAGTGCAGACATGTTTTAGCAGCAGGTACAGGAGAGTGAATACAGTAAGTACAGGGGATCCCAATCTTTTTTCTTGGTGGCTCAATTAATCGGAAACTCTCTGCTATGTTAGACAGTCTATGGTTTCTTTTAAGCTCAGTTTTTTTCCCCAAAATGAATCTGCATTCAGGACAGGAATAGCCTCTCACCTCCCGTGTGCCCAGCACATTCTCAATGCAGACTCGGCAGAAGCTGTGTCCACATCTCAGGGTTACAGGATCTGTATAAATGTTCAGGCAGACTGAGCAGGTCAGCTCGTCTCTCAGATCAGCAGACGCCATCACTGAAAGCAGGAACCAAAAACGAAACTTAATGTTTGTCTTCTTTCAGAAAGCAGTGGGACGGGTTTCATCACATTCCACAACCAGGGGGCGGACAGTTTGTATCATAGGATTTAACTTCCTGACTGTTAACCCTGATAGTTCCCGATGAGCTATCTTTTCTATAACACAATATTCAGACTGCAGTTACATAGTTACAATGTTCCACAGGTTAAATAGAGACATGTGTCACATCACATTTTTTTTTCTGTTGATCCAAAAGAAGGCAAAAAAAAACAGTTTGAAGCACTTCCCAATTTTGCAACAAACCTGGAACAGATTCCTTCTTCCAGTCAGATCTCTCCTTGAATCAAGAAGCTATTACTACACCTATTAAAAATGGAATCCCTGTATATTATTATTATTGGTATTTATATAGTGCTAGTGCCAAATAAAATTAGTGCCAAATAATTCTGCAGTGTTTACAATATTATGAGGGGGAAATTTACAATAAATGAGACAATTACACAGTGACACAAGAACAATAGGTAGATGAGAGCCCTGCTCAAACGAGCTTACAGTCTAGAGGTAGTGGGGTACAAGTACACAACAGGGCAGTAGGGGTGATAGCCACCAACAAGGTGGAAAAGTAGCAGAACTGGAGGTGAGAGTGCCGTGTGGCTCTGTAGGAGAGCAAGAGACAGGTTTGGATAGGTATAGATAAGTTACTCTGGGAGTCCATAAGCATTCCTGAACAGATGAGTTTTGAGGGACTTTTTAAACAATTGAAGACAAGTGGAGAGTCTGATGGGGGTAGGCAGGCTGTTCCAAAGTAAAGGAGCCG